AAGTTCCTGTGGCCCAGCACATCCCTCGTGGAGCCCAGTGACACCCCAAGAGGAGCACAAAGCTTGCCAGTCCCTCCTGCCTCTGTCCCACAGCCCTCCCTGCCCCTGCCAGCCACCGTGTGCCATCCTGGAGGGATGTGTGTGCCACCTCACAGGAGCTGAGCACTTCAGTGCCCTGGGGTGGGGCACAGCCAGTCTGTCAGGAACAGCCCCTGGTTCTGGGGAGAAAGGGGCTTTTCTGTAATAATACTTAGAATTATATTCTATTGTTATAATACCATGCTTGAATTTCATTAATTTAGTATGAATTAATGATGTGCTTTATAATTCTGATACACTAAATAGAATCATGTTTAATATGAAGTTTTTGAAACTTCCTTCCAATTCTCCCCAAACAGAAGGAGCTAGCAACTGATGAGGAGTGTCCCAAAATGTGTGCTTACAAGTTGGTGACCATCAAATTTAAGTGGTGGGGGCTGCAAAACAAAGTCGAAAACTTTATACAGAAGGTGAGTGTTCTGCCTGCTGCTGCTGCTGGGAGGGGCTGAGGTTCTGTGGGGCTGAGCAGGAGCAGCACTGCAGCTTCCTGCTGCTCCCAGACAGGCAATTCCTGTCCATCTCCTCACCCAGTCCAACCGTTTGTGTCTTGGTCTGCTACACATGGAGTTTCACTGGTGTCACCAGTGAAAGTGTTGTCCCAGAACAGTTCTCTAAGTCTTTAGGAACTGTCTGTTCTGCTGTGTCTGCTGCCACCTTGGAGCTAAGACAGTTTTTAAAAGGATTCTCCATCATTTTCAGGTAGCATAAATTGCTGAACTTGCTTGAAACTTATTTTGTGATAGTGAAATTTGTTCATTTTTTTCCATGTTAAACTTGTGAGGAATAAGAGGAATTTAAACTGGCTCCTGAGGTGTGAGGGGGCTGAACCTGCAGCAGTGTGAAGCACCTGAAGATTGTAACTCTTCACCCCGAGCAGCTGCAATCACTTCACCAGTCTCTGGCAAGTCCCAGACCTGTGATCTAATGCTTGTTTATCTTCTTAAAGCAAGAAAAGAGGATATTTACCAACTTCCATCGCCAGCTGTTCTGTTGGATTGACAAGTGGATTGAGCTGACCATGGAGGACATCAGGAGAATGGAGGATGAGACCCAGAAGGAGCTGGAAGCGGTAAGGAAGCTTTTCTGGGCTCAGGGGTGTGTGTTTCTACCTGTAGATGTCTCTGCTTGGAGACTGAGGCAAGTTGTGCAGTGCTGTCCCCTTGGTGTGTTCGGGCAGTTGCTGATGAGCACCGTGGCCTCCTCAGTGGTTCTCCCATGCAGACCCATGTGCTTCAAGCTCTCTGCTGTCATTAACCCAGAGTGTCTGCCCTGACACCTCTGTGTTTATGGCACCACACCCGTCGCACAAAGTCCCATCAGGGCCTTTTTGCCACTCGTTGGTGAGAACTCAGAGCTGTCACCTTGCTGCTCCATCACGTGTTTTGCTTTGTTTCATTTCTAGTCATCATTAGATCTGATTACTTTTTTTTTTTTCTTCAAACATGTTTTCAAGCAAGTTTCTGTGTCCTGTGTCACCTGTTCTACTCCTGAGTAGCACACCAAAGGAAGTCAGTAAAATTAGCTGAGGTGGTGTCAGTTTTCCTGCTTTAGTGGCTGTGAGGACCAAACCCTTATGGCCTGATCTGTTGTGGGCTGATGGCTGAGAGGGAGCTCATGTGTAGGGCACTGTCACTGCTCTTTCCTTTCAGAGCTGGAGGACCACCACAGGCTGAGGAGGGAGCCTTCTGTGGTGTCTTTTCAGAGCATGACCTTTGGCATGAACCTTTCTCATGTAAAGTTGTGCAGGTTCTTTGCAGTCCTTGGGTTTGTGGTTGTATGTCCTTCCCAGTTTGCCGGTTGCTGTGTGCCCCAAACCCAGCCAGGTTACCACTGGTTCTTCCAAGACATGTTGTGTCTTCAGCTGCAACTTGCTTTTTGTGTGGTTTGAAGCATTCCAGACACCCCTGACCAGGCTGCTGAGACTCTGGCCCAGCTGTGGACATGGCCCCAGAGCACGTCCCGTGGTCTGGGCTTGGCACCTCTGTGTGCTGGTAGTACCAAACAGCTGCAGCTGCTCCCTCCCCACTCTTGCTCTCCTGGGCCTCTCCAGACTGTGGGACAGGTGGTGTTGTGTAGGCATGTTTCCTGGTTTGGGAGAAGTGTTCCTGCAGGTCCTGTGCATCCCTAGGCAGATGTGCTGAGCTGTAGCACCAAATGTTCCTTTCCCACAAACCAAAAGGTTTGGCTGTGTCTGCAGCCCCAGAGTACTTGGACAAGGTTGGTGGTCACTCACTTCTGCAGGCCTTGTGCTCTCAAGGGCGTTTGGGTGTTTCTGGCAGGTGTTCTTTAATTCAGCATTATGCCTGATCCTGTTCCTAGACCAGCTGTTCCCAGGTGTCTGTGGAGGAAGAAGTGTAACCACTCTCCTCTCTAAACAGATTCCCCTTTGCACAGCCATAGTTCTTCCTGTGGGGTGAAACAGGCTCTCTCCAGGTTCTCTGAGTGAGGGTGGTGGCAGTGAGGAGTGCACACCAGGTCTGTACAGAACCTGACACACCTGTGTGCCTGAGGAGGTTGTTCCTTTGTGTCTCTGTGGCTATGGATGTTTGTCTTCTTGCAGTGAAAGTTGTTTCACATTTCTCACTGGTAAGTAGCTTCTTCTAAACACTTTTTTCCCAAATATTTGCTGCTTTCTAGCTCTTCCCTGAAGCCAAGCCTAGCTCACGTGTCTCTGGGGGTGACATTTATCCTTGTTCTTAAACAGCAAATGTATTTATTTAATGTTTTCTCGTTTTGCAAAGTAAGGCAAATAGTTTTTTGCAAGTATCTTGTGTTACGTATTTATTTAATGTTTTCTCATTTTGCAAAGTAAGGCCAATAGTTTTTTGCAAGTATCTTGTGTTAGCATCAGGAACTTGTGTATTGTTGAAAAAGTAATTTTTTTCACAAGATAAATGTATTGATGTGACACTAACCCAGATTTCTGTGGCTGTTGTGAAATGTGAGAGGAGTGGGGACCTACTGCTCTGGGTATTTCTCAGCATCTACAAACACCTATAAATGATGCAGTGTCAAGGGGTTTGTGGTGAAGTGCATTGTTGGAGAACAACCTGAAGGCAAAAGTGTCACTGCCAAACGATATGAATGCTAATTTTGTCCCAAATAATTTGTCATATGGTTTCATATTCAACTGCTCCATCCACTGTGCTCACTGGCCAGGACCTCTGGAAAGTGAGTGCTCAGGGATGAGGTGCTCAGTGTGACGCAGATGTCCCAGTGCTCCCATCCCTGCAGGATGGACAGGGCTGCACCAGGCAGTTCTGTGATGCTTAAAGCCAAACCAGGCACAAAGCAGGGCTGGCAGTGCATGTTCTCTCCCACACAGCTGCCTGGTGCTCTTCCCTTCTCATGAACACCTTTTCTTCCTTCTGCTTCAAGCTGATCTTTCTCTGGATTCTGTGCACATTCCAGTTCTTTTGTTGCTCCTGTGCTCCATCTTCAGTCGATTTTTACAGTCGGGATCTCTGCTTTTGTTACTTTTCTGTTACTCTCTGAATCCTCATCAGTGTCCTTCAGAGTTTCTCTATCCCAGCCCATCTTTTTCTCACTGCTTTTCTCTATCTTTCACTCGGTGGCTTCTGTCTCTGGTTCCTGGAGATGAGGAGCACCTCTGCTCCATGAAACACAGCTCATCAGCTCAGAGTAGGAAAGCATCTGGCCTAGCCCAGGCTCTGTGATGACCCCCATCACATCTGTGTGAGGGCAGAGGTGCCACCCTGGGTATCCCCTGCAGTGTGGCTCCAGCTGGAGCATCACGGGCCGGTAAAAGTTCAAGCAGCTTCGTTCACAGCTGCTGTCCAGTTCCCAGGTCTCCTCACCAAAAATCCCCCAAGCCCCTCAGCCGTAGCTGTCCTGGCCCTGGCCAGGGAGAGGCAGTCCTGGCTCTGCAGATCAGGTCGTTCCTTCTCTTGTACTAACCTCAGCACAACAGGTTCTGTGTGTGGAGCTCACGTTTTATTTCACTTCAGATGCGTAAGAAGGGTTCCGTTCGAGGCACTTTGGCTGCGGACGTCTAGAGGAGGTCTCTGTAGGTTCTGAGGCAAAGCGAGCTGTGTAAGTCAACTGCTGGATGGAAAGGAGAAGAGGGATTAATGTTCTGATGGATGGGAATTGCTGGCAGGAATCATCCCGATGCCCACGTGGCACGTGTGGGCCTTGCCTCCCTGCTGCTCGGTGCCGTGTGGGGGTACGCAGGGCACACCAGGCTGGGCAGGCACTGGGGCTGGGGCAGGATGCCTGTGGTGTTGGCCACTGCCCTGGTGCTCGGTGCTTGCCCAGTGCAGGCTGCTGAGGTGTGGGACCCGTGGCTGTCACAGCCTTGGGGCTGAGCCCTGGCACCCACATGTGCCCTCCCGGGCACCAGTCACACAGCTTGGCACCGCTTCACTGCATGCACAGTGGCAAAGTGAGCTCGTGGACTTAGCCCACCTACCTTAGGGAAACTGTGGACTGTCACCTTCCAACCACGTGAAGTTCTTGAAATGCAGTTCCACCCAGTGCTGACAGACACCAGACTGTGTTAGAACCGTTACTGCAGGAGCAGTTCTCCAGCAGTTACAGCTCTTGGTGCTGCTGTTCCCCGTGGGAATGTCGTGGCACTGCCAGGGGATCCCAGCCCAAGGCTGCTGAATCCCTTTGATCGGTGTGAGCTCCCAGCCCTGGGGCAGCTCCCGCTGAGATCCCCTCTGGAGCCAGCCTTGCTTTGGTGCGACTCACTCAGCCCTGGTGGTGTTCTGACAGCCCTGCCCTGGTTCTCCCTGCAGATAACCTCCTGCCTGCTTGGAGCTGTGTGCCCAGGGAAGCTGCTAATGTGGTGTTGTGTCTCTCCACAGCTGCGTAACCAAGGGCAGGTGAGAGGAACGAGTGCTGCCAACGACGAGTGACGCGGCCGCCGCCGAGCTGGGTGTGTGTGGGTGCATGACTCTGTATATAACTCTACACGCACATACAGGCCCAGGGGTGGGAACAGTGTCTCCGGGTGCTACACCTGTCCTAGCAAAGATTCCCAGGAAACTGCTTTCATTATGTATACCCCCAAGCAAATAAAAATCAAGTGAGTAGTGTCATTTAAAGGATAAATTTTGCTAACTGGTATGTTCATGAATGTCAATACTGGACCAATTTCTGCCCTATTCGTTTTTTCCTCCTGTCCGAGTCAACTCTGCTCTAACTCACCCATCTCTCGTTGTAAAGAAACAACTCAAAACAAGGTAATTTCAGTTTTATGTCTTCCCTATGTGATCAGTTTTGGAATAGGAACAATGAATGTATTTATAGCTATTTATTGCTGGATTGTCATTATCCTATAGTCAAGTCAGGAAATAAAAAATTTCTATTAGTGAGATTTGGAAGACTTTTACTGTTAAATAAGTTTAACCCAAACTTTAGCCACTCACTGACTTAAAAGGCAAAAAAAAATATGTTTTATTGGACTTTTGTACATTGAAATGCTAATGGTTTTTCTTCATTAAAATTGGCAAGATTAAGGAAAAAAATGGCTTGTGATTTATAAAGTAATTGCAACTTGAAATTTTCCAGAAGCTGCTTTGAGACAAGTACACTGACAGTACCTGTCGGAGCATTTCCAGTGTGTCTCAGGCCAGGCAGAGAGGAGGGAGCCAGCCCTTCCCTCCAGGAACATTCCTGCCAGTGCAGTGGCTGTTTTCCAGAGCTTCCCTTTGGAAGCCATGCAAAAAGATTTGGATTTCACACACAGCAATGGAATAGAATTGTGATTTTAGCTCTTTTCATGTTGAAAATACACTCTGGGAGTTGTAGACTTTTGTCGTGGTTTAACCTCAGCCAGCAGCCAAGAACCAGCAGCTGCTTACACTCCCTCCTCCCCGCTCTT